ATATATATATGTATATATATGTATATATATATATGTATATATATGTATATATATATATGTATATATGTATGTATATATATATACACAGTGTTAAAACTTTATATAAAACCTTTTCAAAATAAAACTTCATAGTTTAACAATATTTCAAATCAACATTACTAATTTTGATCGCATATAAACTAGGTATAAATGAGGGAATTAAATGATGAATTAAACTGAAATCTAAGTTGTTGCTATATAATTGGTTAACAATTGGTTATAATGCAAATTTGTCAGTAAAGACTAATGCTTCTGTGAAAGTAATTTAATTTCTACATAATACTTAGTTAACTTAATGCTTAATGCAGATATGTGTTAACTGCCAGTAACAATCTTTAAAAGCCTGTGACCTAAATTTAAAAAGTGGATTTTAATTTTTTAAAAAAATATTTAACCCGAAGCTGAGTTCTGTTTCTACATAATTGCTACTCCATGCGATAGCCAATTTGGTGTAATGGTTAAGGCATCACAGTAGAAACTGGAAAACTGTGAGTTCTAGTCCTGCCTTCGACATGAAACTGAGTGACCTTGGACTAGTCACTTTCTATCAGTCCAAGGAAGGAGGCAATGGGAAACTACTCCCAAAAACTTTGCCAAAAAAATTGAGAGATTTTTCTAGGCAGACTCTGACAATTGAAAACAATTGAAAGGAAGAAAAAAAATGAACATGTTCTGAACAAATAGGTCTCTTAATAGTTTACACTTTGAATACAAGAATTCCATCTTGATGTTCAGTTCATCCTAGGCAAAAGTGAGTGAGGTTTATGTAAAATACTGGAAAATCAAACCCAACCTCTGGCACTTTTATATACATGGCATTGACCATGTAATTTATTTATTTTTTGCTAACTATACAGAAAGAATTTGCCACTGCCTCATTCTGGGATGCTTTTCAATTTTCTAGTACGCTTTGGACCATTGATTTTCTCTGCTGTTTTGGCAAATGCTAACGAAGTTTACCCTGCTTACCTAGCTGGTTGCACCAATGCTCTGTAATTTATTATTATAATAGGATGAGAATACAAAAAGTGTGTATCCAGGATACATCTTGTCTTAGTCATCCAAATTATGTGTCTGATAAGATCTAAGCAGAGATCTAATTTGCAGAGGATTTTCCCCTATTAGATTTGTTCAACTATTTGTCACTCATATAGTTATAGCACAAACCTGATATATGGAGTTTTATAAGTAGATTGAGGCAGAGAAACATTTTCGGACATGTGTTCGGCTTGGTTCAGCAGAACCAAGAAATAATCAACAAATCAATCTGAAACTCTTTGACGCTAACAGCTGCTTACAGGGAAAAAAATCGTAAATGACATGTTTCCTCTTTAACTGATATTTAACAGCTGTACTTTCCTACAAGTCTTTCTACTGACTATAATAATATAATATAAAATTCTTGGTCAAATGAAATCCATGAGAAGCTAACTCATTCTTTCCATCTCCTGTCCCGTTTGAATGGATTCTCTTCCCTGAACATTCAGTTCCAGAAGCTAGGAAACTAAATATCTATCTAGCCATGACATCCAATGCCGAGTCATAATTACAAAGGACAAAAAGACAGCAGGTTTTCTGGTGTTCTTTAATCAAGGTTTGACACCATCAGTAATTATTGGACTGGAAGTGATTTAGAAAAGATTAGTCTTTTCATTACTTTAGCAGACATATTCAGAAAAAGGATCAATTAACTTCTGCTGGTGGCCGAGATTCACAGACAGCAGGGCTTATGTATAGGAATAATGTATAGGTAAATGTTAACAGCATATAGAAAATTCTATTTTCACAAATTTCAGAGAAGTTGACAGAGTCTGGATGAACCATCAATCCACTTATTTGCATAAAATCTGGAAAGTTTGAGTCTTGCCAAATACTTACTTTTGATTCATTCTGTTGTTAAGGAATACTTTATCCACTGAGCTCTAGAAATTAAAGGCTATTAGGTATCATGCTGATAAGCCTAATTTAAGACATCCCATTAATAATGACAGGTGTTGCAGAGTCCAACCAGTGGCAGCATCTTGCCAGCCTTGCTGATTTCAAGAAGCTTAGCAGGATTACAACTGATTAGTACTTGGATGGTAAAACCATCAGGAACATGAGGTCAGTAGGCTTTATCAGGAAGTTGAGGAATCATCTTGAAAAAAGACTGTAGAACACCGTTTTCACATTGTTCTAAGACACCTACATCATTATAGCATCACTATTATGAGCATAGTCTATTGCTATTTTCAGGAAAAATTATTTCTAGATAGGTTCAGCAAATATTGATTCTAAGTCTCCCCTCAATAAAATGTATGAAGAATCAGTAAATCCAGTTGTTAGTACCAATATTTGATGCCTCTTTAGAAAACAGCTGTCCTACTCATTAAAATAATAATTGGTAGGCTTTCTTAGTATTTTTGGTTTAGTTTAGTTTGTGATGTAATGATCAGAGCAGTATTGGGTGCAAAATTATTTCTTTTACATGGAGAGCATGATTTCCATACAACACCCTTGTGAGCATTGGGTAAAGTTTTAGGAACAGAAACAGTTTATGTGAGGTAGATAAAAATATGTTGCAAACAGCATTCAGTCTAGAATCAAAGGTTCTTAATCCAACAGACTTATCAATTCATTTTCCTTAAGACTTGTTCACTTGAAGTGGTTTATCATATTCACTTCGTATATTAGATTCATATATTTCCCCCTGCTTGCTACTACACCAAGCAGCCAGAAGCAGCATATTTAGTTAATGCCCAGATATTCAATAGAAGAAATCCAGGTATCAATTTTGAATGATACGTAGCATGAACAAGAAACATTAGAATATATCATCCTCTCTTCTCTCATTTTGTGGTTGCAGTCTCAATGCCACATGTGGTCTAAGATCACTTTCTTTTGCTCTCACCGTGGTATTTTTCTTCTGATATAACTCTGTTAGCAATCCAGATCTCTTGGTGAGTGGCAGCTGTACTGTATATACTGAATAAGTAAAATATTAAATTTGCAAAAGCTTAAAATTCTCATCACTTTAGATGGGAAATAAATGAAAACTGCGGTGTAAATCAATAAAAAAGAGTTTTACATTTTTAAAAACATAGTAATAAGTTGGAATTCCTACTAACACAGAAAAAAACAGTATGGTGGTCTATTGTATGGCAATATCCTATTTGTTTTCTTCCAAATACTGTTCATAGTATCCCTTACATTTCCCAAAGTACATAAATTGGTCATTGCCACCCTAGAATTTGGGAATCTGGCTTGTAAATAGGAAGCTCCTATGAATTGTTCTCCAGCGTATAAATATAGTTTGGTGAGGAACATAAATGTTTTTCTTGACAGTGATATAATGAAACGGGAATATACACTTGCCTCAAGAAAGGCTAATATTGTATATCATACAGTTTGCTTTTCAGTGCCATTTGTATCTCCCTTTTCAGTTTGATTTTGCAAATCTGCACAGATTTGCTTTCCATTCATTGTTTCATTTGAGACATTAAACCATTTTCATTAATGGGAATATAGTTCTTGAGCAGAATAATTAGACCCTTCTCAGAAAGATAAAAGCTTAACAAATTGAATGGAAGATCCGTCTTCAGAAGCAGCCAATTGCCTAATCAGACTGCCTCCCACCTGACTGTTGGTAATTAGGACATGGTTGTGTGTTCATGTTAAAACCTTAACATGCAGGTGTCATCATCGTGTTGGGATGTAGTGGAGGAAAGAACAGGTCTGTGGCAAAAGGCTGAGGTGGGCACTTTTGTTCCATTGTGGCTAATTAATTAGTTTGGGCTTAGGTTCAGAGAGGGGATTGTGAAGGCTTCCCTCTTTCATTTTTTTTGAAATAACCTGAGAAGTTTCTGACATTAGAGTCACCATGACTGATTTGGGCTGTAAGAAACACAGTGATTGCACCATCTCCAGGCTGCTCAATGTGGTGGAAAATGAACTTCTGGCTGGCAGAGACAAAGGAGACCCTACTGAGAAACAACTCCAGGTTATCTTGGAAGACTCTGCCCTGTGGCAGAGGTTCAGAGAAGTTACAAATGAGATGATTGTCACCAAGAATGGCAGGTGAGTGTTAACTTTCTCTTTTGCTACAGTGAATGGTGAAGTGAATTTACTACATAGAAAAACAACTGTGATTGATTTGCATTTCATTGGAGATGTTCTTGAGAAGATTTGTAGAAATAAATAAAAACTGCATGAGAAAAGGGTTAAAGCCTTGCAATTATTCCACTTCTTTCAAGTGAACTTGGATAGTTTGCTGGCGGACTGCACCTGAATATTTTTTTATATATTTGTGTATAAATAGTGAGCCCTTTTGAATATTAGTGGTTGTTGAGAGATGCTTTTATTGGCAGTGTGGAAGCAAGTGAAATATCTTCTTTATGTGTATCCAATGGATGTGGATGCAGAATATTTACATATGCAAGTTTCTTAATAAAAGAAGCAAGGCTTCATCTTTTTTCTGAACCAAATGTTCAAGTTCTTTTCTGAAAGACTGTGTCTTATGAGAGGGTGTCAATGGATATCATACATTTCCCGTATGATATAAGAGATTAGTGTTGTGAATGGTAAATACATATTTGCTCTTCAGAAGACTTAAAAGCATTATAAACTTCAAAATGCAAAACCAACATAAATGACATAATGTAAACCAATTAAAATTATTTTACCTGTCACACATGCAGATCATGTAAAGCTCTGATTAGTTTATAATGCATTCTTACAATATTGATATATGATAAAGTTGTTGTGCATGGATTTGTCCAAGCATATTTAACATTGTGCCCCGTTGGGCTGTTTGCAAGTCATTTTTGCTGGAAGACCTTGCACTCTTAATTGGCTTCTCTTCTAACTCTATCTTCTCCATTACTTGTTCCATCACTTTTCTTTCCATAGAAAAAAACTCTTTGGGGTGAAAATATGGAACTATGTCACAATCCATTTTGTACATTTTTTTTCTAATAGCGACTTAAAGCGCAATAGAGCCAACAATTCTGAAATAATATAATGCCTATGCTCATTGCTGTCATGTTGGCCTCAGAATGAATGCATGTGAATAGAAGATGCTATAAGTCACTAGTGAGTAAATGCTAGATAGTTCTAGAAGTTCCCTATCGAAAAGAATCCAGGAACTATGCTTTTCTAGTAGTTACAATAAGAGAGAAAACATTATATACAGATCTCAGTTCCAGTAGTCAGTATCATGTGAAGGCCAAATGTATTCAATATGTATCATCATGGAGAAAATCTATGTACATGATCAGTAGAAGTTGATGGCTTGATTGTACATAACCCATCAATCAATACAATTTGTAGTTTTGCTTATGTAAACAGTAAGCCCAGTCACCTGTATAGCTTTAGGAATAATGACACACAAAAATACCCTTTTTCCCCCTAATAGTTAAAAGAAAAAACACTCTCTCCTATGATATGTAATTATAGACAGAGTATGAAACTGGAAACTGTCTTCTGTTCGGTCTTCATTGATTCTTGACAATCATCTTTCTTCAACAGACATAAATACTGAAACACCAAATTCAGTGCTATCTTTGATACTTTAGTTTACTGATTCCCAAGTCGATTCCCCCACCCCCTTGTTGAAGGTCACATTTTCTTAGATGATCTTTTGTGGTCTTTATGTTGGGAGAAGGAGACAGGGCTATGTACAAATGGGAACTCATGTAAAAAATGACAAGATCAGTCATATAGTAAAGGATTATTTTTTTGCATTGTCACATTTTAAAGGGAAAATTGAGTAGAATCTG